TTGCATGCCCTAATAGACACCAATGGAGACTATTTCTAGACAATATAAGATTCAAACTATCTATTAGCTCTAAAAACCTATTACTTACCTAATAACTCACAAATACCGATTATTATAACCCTAATATATCCATTACATTATTGATCATATCAATCTGATGTTAGAAAACTTCCTGCCGATTCTACAAAAGTTTCTCAAACTCAACAATATTATGATTCGAGATAATTTTATAAAATATAGAATCGACTATACAAAATGCGGAAGCTAAATTATAAACATATTTTACATACCTCCGGCCATTGATATTTAATCATGTTCTTCACTAATTTTGAAATATTCTAAACCTTTTTTCTCGCAATATGATGGTGTAGGTTTTTTTTTAGATTTAGGGTGGTAACAATGCTATGGTTGATAATGCTTTGGCCTTACCTAGTTCATGTAATCTTGATATTACTCCAGTTAAAACGCATCATTTGGATTTGTTGGCTGTTAAGGATGAACAAGTTATTGTGAATTGCTAATGGTTTGTATAGTACGCCTTTGGGGATTGTTTCCCCTCATGTTGATGTGAATGCTAATGTGATTGTTCAAGATTTGATGATTCCTCATAAACTTTCCTTAATTTCTATTCATGATTCTCCTGCTTCTAATGCTGAGGTTGAGGCTATGAGTGGTTGGGAGGTGTTGGTTGATATTCCTGTTGGTCAGGCCGATTGGTTTTGCTCTCAATCGACCGAGGATTGGGGTTATGAGGGGTCTCATGGGGACCTATCAAACTGTATGAATGATGATTGTAATTTAAACGTGGTGCAAGTGGATTCTAAGGAGTTTTCTATTGGCAAGAAAAAAAAAAGAAGAATAAAAACAAACACTGTGACTTGAGGTTTTAAGTTTTGCTTTATTTTTTGTCTCATTCTTTATGTTTGAGTGCTCTTTCTTGCAAGTTGTTCGGTTGCTGCTTTTGTTGCTCGCTTCCTGTAATTGGTTTGATAATATTTGATTGAGGGTGTCATGTTTAATTTGCTTGTGATCAAAGAATGGCACTGGCATTGTTGGAAATGCATCCATGTTTGAATCTCAGAATATGGTTTGATCATAAATGCTTATGTACAGAGTTCTATTATGATTTGTTCATTTGTTTATACTTTTTTGGTTTATTCTTCTTCCTATGTGAGTTTTTTAAAATTGTATTTGTAGATGAAACATGTCATTGAAGAATATGCTCCCATAGAAAGTTTCTGGTGGCAGACATTGGAGGGTAGCTATTGTGTAAAATATGTATTTATATCATTCCCGATTATTCTGCTAGTGGTAATCAGATTACATGATCAGAATTGTATTAGATATTTTTATATAAAGCTATAGAAGGTTTGTTAATGGCATAATTTAGTAGATAGGAATTTTAATATGATTTTACCAAATCACCTGCTTTACTTGACAATGCAATTTAATCTCTAGCAAGATGTCCTGACCACATCTCATTTGGGGTCTTCTTCCAAATAGCTACAAAAGGCGGACGGTTCACCAAGTGATAGGCATAATCTATAGCCTTAGCCCAATGGACTCTATCTAACCCAGTATTAGATAACATACACCGAACTTTCTCCACCAATGTCCGGTTCATCCTTTCTGCCACCTCGGTGTCTCTCTAACAGTGAAGTGGTGCTCAATTCCAGATCTCTGGCACTCCTATAAGAACACATCCGAAGTGTATTCGCCACCATTATATGATCTGATACATTGAATCCTTTTGTCAGTCTGCGTCTCAATCCACTTCTTCCAAGTTCTAAAAATTTCCAGTACCTTGCTCTACGCCTCATGATGTACCCCCAAATATATGTGGAGTAATAATCAACAAAAGAGACAAAGTATCGCCGCCCGCCAAATAATGTTGTCTTCATCGAGCCTCAAACATTTTTGTGAACATACTTCAAGATATCCTTTATACTGTTGATGGAAGTACCAAAGGATACACGTTTCTTGTCAAACAATATTTTTTCAGAAATTGAGCTCTTTTGATCAATCCACGGTTCACCAAAGCCATAAGAGAAGCCTCCTCGGCATGAACTAGCCGCATATGCCACAGTGCAATGACATCGGAAGAATCATCAGCAACAACAACCATTTCAATCACTATTCTACCCTGAAGGCAGTAAATGTTATAGTGACGAACTCCTTTCAGAAAAATCAACGCTCCATGAAATATCTTCAAAACTCCTGCCTCAATGACTACCCTATTATAGCCTTTGGTTTCTAAAGCCCCAAAAGACAACAAATTCTTTATGATATTTAAAACATGTCTCATATCACCCAGCTCTCTCATAGTACCATCATGCATTTTGATGAAAATGCTCCCTACACCAACAATACAACAGGCCTGATCATTTCCCATGAACACAACACCACTCTCAAGCTCCCTGTAGCCTGTAGGTATTGAACCACTCTCTAATGAGACAAATGTAATAAATAGCACCAATATCCAGAATCTAACATGAATTATCTGAATAGAAACTCTGAGAAACTGCATGTAGTGATACATTTAAATCTTTTTCATGCTCTTCCACGCTAAGGTTAGCCTTAGTGGAAACCCTATTTTCCTTCTCCTTTAGCATCGGGCAATATTTTGTTCAATGACTAATTTTTAAACAGAAAGCATGTTGATTCTTTCCAAGAATGTGTCTACTAGACTTGCCCCACTTGCTGCTATCGCCAATTTTATTCTTATGTTTTTCATGTCTTCCACATTTGAGTGTGAGAGCCTCAATTGAATATAACTTTACAGAATCCTTGTCCCGACATCGGAAGTCATGACTCAGCAATGTAGTAGTCACCTCTCCATAGTTCAAGACCTCCTTCCCATAAATGAGTGTCATCATTAAGTTTTCATAATCATTCAGAAGCGAATCAACAGAATGAGTTCCTTGTCTTCATCTCCAACATCCTCATCCGGATTCAAAAGCTCTGTCGATACCTTTTTGAAGTCATTCAAATGCTCATCAATTGTAATCTCATATCTCATCTGAAACTTATAGAGCCGCCGTTTCATTTGAAGATGATTCTCCACACTCTTCGTCAGATACTTATTATCCAAAATCTTCAATAACATTACAACAAAAGTCTACATCATTACCCCATACTTATCCCTTGAGATGGACAATTTTTTTATCAAGTCACAAGCACTCCGGTTCATCTTAAGCCAACCTCTCTCTGAAATCTACTCGGGATATCCATCACTCTCCATAGCTTCCTCCAGATTCAAAGAACACAACGTATACATCACCTCACATCGCCAAATGACAAAGTTTCTTTTGCCGTCAAATTTTTTCACATCGATTTTGACGGGATGTTTAACTACCTAATGAATTGACGTCTTCTCCACCATTGAGGTGGATGTATTCATAGCTCCACCAGATCTCATAGCCTCCAAAAAATTGCAGTTGTCTCACATGGCTAGAATTACACCAATTCGGCTCTCTTCCTTCACCTGGACGAACCATACAAACAGAAAGAACTGATTGACTCTCATTCTCCAAGCCGCCGCCGAAAATTTTATCGAAATTTGGCTATGATATCAATTGTTGTGCAATACACAATGGAAATAACACAAATCGCACAACCGAAGTAACACAAATCGCACAACCAAAATAACACAAAGGACACGACAATTTATGTGGTTCGACAAAGATGTCTACGTCCATGGCGAGGGGGTAATGATTTCACTATATTGGAGAATAATAAGGATTACAAAAGCTCTCAAGCTCTCTCTCTTTTTCATGCTTACAATACAATAACCCTTAAGCCCTATTTAAAGATTTGACGCAAAGCTACAAAGGAAACTTTAATTAATGCTATAATATGGCAAAATCTAATCATGCCAATTAGATCTCCCAATCATACTAATTAAATCTCTCCATTTATGCAATAATCATCCATTAATTAATGCATCAATCAAATCTCCAATCAAATCAACTTAATTAGGAAAAATAATCAACTCCCTAATCAATTATATAATAAGCCATCGAAGCCTTCCAAATCAAGGCTAATCTAGATTTGAAAAGATTTCCAAATCAACACCCACATATAAATTCTTCAGAGTATAAAGCCTTCAGAGTGATTTACCATCTACAGAACAAAATTAAAAAAAGAAAAATAAAAAACATTACTGCAGAGCTTATAGTAGAAGAACTATTACTCTGTGATCTACTACTTAGCTCTTTGCTATTTTAGAGAAACAACTCAATCTTATAATAACTTATGGTATTTGCTTATCTCTTGTTATATTGAGGTTTGCTGATGGAAAAAAGTTTAGATACTCAAAAGGAGTGGCCCGCTAATCTACCATCACTGCTTCATAACTGTAATCTTAAATTAACCTATTATTCTTTCATTTGGAAAACCCGTTTTCATTGGCATGTTATGTTCTCATTTGTTTAGATATTTGTTTCCTCATGTCCATTTCAAGTGGTGGAAGTTCGACTACCACAGAACGACAAAAATGACTCTTTCCATTTTGTCAGTGTTGTTATACCAAGATTCTTCACTAAATATCAATATGGTTATTATGAAGGTTAAGAGAAACGACAACACGAGGGATGTTTTAGAGGAAATGATCTAATACTCTAGCAGGTTCGCACGGCCCTTAACAAACTAAGCAGTCATTCACCGCGCAGTGATGAAGTATGAAAATAAAATTCCAAGTCACAGTCACCTAGTCATAGAGTTCTAACTTACCACATAATTCAGTTAAGCAGGGATTACAAGCAAAATCTACTATGTAATTGTGTTTCAGACGATCTAATTAATGTCACGCAATTTTAAAAAATATCAAAATAATGGCTAAGCCATAGAGAAGATCATTTCAAAGATAAAAAATATGAAGAAATTTTTAAGAAAAAAATTAGAGACAGCAATTATTAAACGTAAAATACAGCTAAAAAGGAAAAAAGAAACGACCAAAAGAAAATCAATCTTAAAATAAATGGGAAAAAGGAATTCCCAACCTTCATGATGCCAATTGCCGTGCCGCGATGGTCGGGGAAGTTGCGAGCGGCGGTGACAACATCGGCTGTGTTGAAGAAGGTCAGGGAGTGGGCAGCGAGTAGCATAAATAGGGACATGAGAGGGACGGGAGGGCGGTGGAGGATCCCGGAAACGGAGAGCCACATGAAGAAATATCCGGCGAAGCACTGGACGGCGCCAAGGGCAAGGACGAGGCGAGGGCGGCTGGCTTCGGGAGAAGAGGAGTAGATGGCGCCGGAGATGACGCCAGCGTTAGCGCCAATATCCTTGAAGAAAGCAACTGTGTCTAGGGTTTGCTGATCATAGAGCTGAGTGGATTTGAGCAGCGGTGAGTAGAAGCTGAAGGTGTAACCAGAACCACTCACGCACTGCATCCAGATGCTTGCTGTCATCGCTGCCCATTTGTTGCGTCCGGCCGACGCCGGCGTCAAACCGCAGCCGGCGAAAGTGGCGGCTCGCTTCATCTTTGGCCCCTTGCACGCCACCGGTGATATCGTGGTGCTCCACCCAGTCACCGCTCCACACAGAGATCGTGTTTTGGCCTTTCGGGCAGCAATTGACAGGCTCTTTCCAACTATATATATATTTAAAAGGATATATTTACTTACAAAATTTTGAATTTTTTAAATTATATTTCAAATATTAAAATATTAATTTATTCAAAATCATATGTTTTAATATGAATTAAATATAAACGTGATACATGAAGATATAAGTTTTAAATGTTTAATATATAAATACATAAATAATTAATACAACTACCCCAAAAATTAATGCAAAAACCTACTACTAATTAATTAAAAATTTATTTTAAAAAATAAAATTGACCTACATATATTTTAATTTATTACTCATTATTAAACATATATTACTTATTTATTTCTAGAATTATAAATAATTTATTTTGAAATAATTTAACACTTATGAGGCTCATTTTGATCAAATTTAATTATAATATTCTAAGGAATTTTTCACCTATGATACACAATCTTATTGGACACATATATTAATTATCAAAATCAATTTGATGCATGAGGTAATCCAATATGTGCAATATGCATTTTTTTTAAAATTAAAAACATGATATTAATTTACAATTTTAAAAACACTAAAAATGTTTAATTAATTTATTATTTATTTATTTTAAAATAAATATTATTATTGGAATATTCATGATGATAGAGAGATAAATTTAGCATCTTAGCTTTGTACAAATATCCAGTACAAAAAACAAATAAAAAAGGGGTATATGGAAAAGCTCGAAAAGGGAAACAATCATAGGAATTAGCCCAGTTTGAAAGAACCACTAGTATTGATGGTTGATTATAAATAAATACACTCCTCAAAGGATGGTGATTGCTCAATATAACAAATACACATTGTATAAAAGCTCATTACATGGTAGTTGTTCCTTCAAAAGTGTTGGCATGTCTATTTGGTCAGCAAGACTATAGTCGACAAGAGAAGGTACTTGGAGAGATCATAGTCAGCAAGCAATGGTGACTAGAAGGATTGTAGTTGTAGTTGGCACACAATGATGGCCAAATGGATTGTAGTTGTAGATAATCGTGATGGAGGTCTAAGTGACCTTAATCAGTAGATAATGGATCATAGTTGTTGTCAGCAGATAATGGTGGTCAAAAGAATCATAGTTGACAAGCGACGAAAGTCATAGGGATCGTAGTCAATGGGTGACAGTAATTAGAGGGACCATAGTCAGTTGGTAACAGCGGTTAGAAGGATTGTAGTCAGCAGGGGACGATTGTTTGAGGGACCTTAGTTAGTAAGTGACGATAGCCAAAGTGGATCGTAGTTGTCGGGCGACAATGGTTAAAATGGCTGTAGTTAGCATGTGAAGATTGTAAGAGAGATCACAATCAATAAGTGACGATGGTCCAAGTGGATCATAGTCGGCGGGCAATGGTGGTTAGAAGGACCATAATCCATGGATAACAGTGATCAAAGGGATCGTGATCAGTTAGCGACAATGGTTGAAGTGGATTGTAGTCAGTTAGTAATGGTGGTCGAAGTGGATTGTAGTTGGTGGGCGATCGTTGTCACATGGACCATAGTCGGCGGGCGACAGTGGTCAGAGTTGACCATGTTCGGCGGGCGACGGTGGTTAGAAGAACTTAGTTGGCAGACAATAATTGTAAGAGGGATCATAGTCAGCTGTAGACAGTGGTCGGAAGGACTATAGCCTGCAGTGGTAGGCTACAAGTCCAACGAAGGTAAGTGGCCTAACGATGCAAGCTTGAGAAACTAAGAGAGATCCTTCATTTTTCATCTCTTCCTTCTCCTTTTTATGAAGAACGATATGTCTATTTATAATTTTTTGCTACTAACATAGTTAGTAAATAGGGAGAAGATCAAGAACATGTTGGGAGTGTTTCAATGGACGGCTGATATTAACCCCCATTACCATGGATAGTTTTTCAAGCATTTGAGTTTCTTAGTGATATCAAAATTCGTTGATCTTAGGCTAATTGGATTCACATCGTTGATCATCTCGATTTGCCTATAAGCATGTCACATTTGGATACTATTTGCTCATCCAATTAATATTGTGAAGCTTTCAAATTAACTTCGAGCCCCCAATTTTGACTAATTTGGGTTCGTATTTGACCGATTTTGGTGTCTTTGGGTTTGTATCTTTGAGACATTTAGTTTGACGATAAATTTGCTGAAATCGAAGTTTAAATTATCCTAATTTTAATTTTTGATGTTTCCAACTATGATATGCCTCCAGATTCGTACTCCATCAAAGCAATTTTAGAGTGACGTATTAATCATTGATGTAGTTAGCAAGTGATAGTGGTTGAAGTGGACTGTAACCGGTGGGCTATGGTGATCAGAAAGACTGTAGGCAACGAGTGATGGTGGTCACAGGGATCATACTTAGCAAGCGACAATGGTCAAAGTGGACCACAATTGGCGAGTAATGGTGGTATGAAGAACCGTAATTAGCAGGTGATAATGGTTAGATGGGCCGTAGTCAGTAAGCAATGATGGTTGAAATGGACCGTAGTTGGCGAGTGATGATGTTTGGAGTGGATCGTAGTCGACTGGAGATAATGGTCGGAGGGACCATAGTCGGCGAGGGATGGTGGTCGGAGTGGACCATAGTTGGGAGGTAATGGTGGGTGGTAATGAATGGAGTGATCGTTGTTGGCAGACCACGGTGATCAGGACCGTGACTGTATTTGGCGGGCGATAATGGTAGAAGGGGTCATAGTCGGCATGCGAAAGTGATCGGAAGGATAATAGTCGGTGGTGATCGGTGGCCAGAGGAAGTCCAACAACGATAGGTTGTCTGGTGGTGTAAGCTTGAGAAAGTAAGAGAGATATTTTATTTTTAATATCTTCCTCCTCCCTTTTGTGAAGAATGAGTAGTCTATTTATTATTTTGATAGTGACATGTCTGGTAAATAGGAAGAAGATCAAGGACACGTTGATAATGTTTCAATGGATAGTCGATATCAACTCCCTCGATTATAGATTATTTATCAAGCATTTGAGTGTTTGTCTTAATGACATCATAATTTTACAATTTTGGACTCGTTGGATTTTTCTCATCGTGCCGCTCGATTCGATTATAAGCATGTGATATTTAAATATCATTTGGTCATCTAATTAATGTTCTAAAGCTTCCAAATAGGCTTCGGGCCTTCGATTTTGACCAATTTGGGTTTCGGATTGGACCGATTTTACTGTCGTTGGGTTTGCCTCTTTGAAACGTTCAATTTAACTATAAGTTTGCTAAAATAATAGTTCGAATGGTCCTGATTTTACTTTTTGATGTTTCTCATTTTGATACGCCTCGAGAAGTTATAATTATGACTTTTTCATAAAAATTGATCATTAAATAAAAACTTTGTGGAAATGGCTAAATATTTTGATGTTCTCTTCACATATCAAAATTACACCAAACAATTTAACGATTTTGCTCCTTTTAATTTTTTTTAACAATGCTCATAATTTCAAATTGTAGTAGGCTTCGCCTTAAAAAATTGTCTATGCTTAATTATATTTATGTTTAAAAATTATCAAGATTGAGGCAAATGCACCCCTTTTTTTTAGAAAATTAAGCATTTTATTTATGTTATAAGATTATTTAGTTTTTTGTTGAAAAATCATCAAGATTAATTCAAATGCACCATATCAAATGCACAGTGGCGAAGTCATAAAATTTGTTGCAACTAATTTAGTCTTTTATCATTTGATATGCTGATGCCAAAAACGAATCGACTAAGTAGTTTTTACTCTATCTTTAATGAATATATTTGAAGAAATAATAGAAATTTAAAAGCCTATTAATAAGGTTCAAATAATTTATGAGCATATTAATATTACATGCTATATTCATTTAGTATTTAATATTGTTAATATAACATAACAAAACTTAATATTTTATTTTAAAAAATTTTATATGCATTTACTAGTTAATTTAAGCTGCACGCACGATCTCCTCTGTTTCTGACTTCCGAAATTAAAAAAAATGAGGGACAATTATTTATCTAATTTTAAGGCACATTTCACGACAAAATGACAATAATTGTGGTTTTTTTCTTTACATATTTTGTCAGCCCATATCGTATATTCTTTATATATTGGTCGAATGGGGCCTGCAACATGGCTGCGACCCAAACAATATGGTTCCAATTTAGCTCAAATTAATTAAAATTGAACCAAACATAATATCTAAAAAAAATTCAAGTTGTAAAATTTAAATAATTTTTAATTAATCAAATTATTTTTAAAAATATTCAATATAAACCACAACTGGTCATCATTGTTACGGCCTAGCAAGCTAGTGTCATTTTGGAATTCATGATAGCCGCAATAATGTATAAGTTAATTTATTTGATATTCAATAAAAATAAAAATAACATATTTTTAAGATAGCAACCATATTTTTTTATATCAAAATAAAAAATAAATAAATAAAAATGATCTTTGATACGTTATCATAAAATTATCTTGATCGGGCACGAATCTCGAAGCAAAAACCAACCCGGAAACTTCAAAAATTAAATCCGGAAGCACCCGAACTTCGATTTCAGCGAGCTTATAGTCAAACTGAGCGTCTCGGAAATACGAACCCAACGACACCAATTTCAACCTGATCCAAGCCCAAATCAAGCACCCGAAGTGCTGTTGGAAAGCTCGTACCACAATTTGAGTTACCAAATGGTCTCCGATTTTAACGAGCTTATAGTCGAATCGAATGGCTTGACAAGACAAATCCAACGAGCCCAAGATCATCGAATTCTGACATCACTAAGGCCTTCAAATGTCCGACGAACGGTGCTTGATCAAGGGATTCAATATCAACCGTCCATTCGAGGACTCCTTATTTGACCCTGATCTCACACCTATTTACGAGCTATGCCACTCCAGAAAAACTATAAATATATCCCTCATTTCTCATGAGAGGGGACACAAGCAAGAAGAAGAGAAGAAGAAGCAAAGAGAAGAGGAGGAGAATCAGCTCCTCCTCGACCACCGCTGGAGTTCTTTCCGCCACCTAAATACGCCGGAATTCTGCCAGATATTTGGGAGACGCCGGAATTCTGCATACTTTGTAATTGAATTTCAATTCAGAAGAAACTCTTTGTAATATGATCGTCCTAACTTGTGGGACGAATCAGCCTCTGTACTTCAAACAAACACTAGTGGAATTACTTCAACTGGGCGTGGCCCCATGATTTTTTCCCTCTTTTGGGTTTTCCACGTAAAAATCCTGGTGTTTATTTTCCTTTCCTGTTTGTGTGCTGAATATTCGTACAACGCTAAGACGAAAGTATTTTAACTTTATCTCCGCGTATATTCTAGCCCACAACAATCTAAAATAGCCCTTTAATTTTTAAATGTGCCATGGATGAGATCACATACAAAATAGATTATAAATATCACTCAAAATGTATTTTATTATGTTCATTATAATTTAATTAGTGCAATTAGAATTAATAAATTATCTCAATTAAACTATTATTATTTAATCAAGCAAATTATGTACAAAGATTTATTTAATTTTAAGTTAAGTTTAACAATTAACATCAGTTCATTAAAAATATATTGTTATTTTTAATTTAATTTGACCTATCATAAATTATTATTTAATTAGCTTAATAAACTACTAATTAATGATTAATTGATATGCTATCTTATGGCTAAATTTTAAACCAAGCACTATAGAAAACATAACTAATAAAAAAATTATAACTATACAATATCGGCTATTTAATAAACAATTGAATTTATATCTTATAACAAGCATGATGGCATCTAAATTAGCATTAGAATAAAGTATGATAAATGCCTCACTGGTTGTTCATTGTAGATTTCTTTTGATATGCTGAGCTCAACTCATGAGCCTAAGGTCTCTTGAAAACCAAGACGAAGTTGCAACAAAAGCTTGTTAGAGAAAGCATTAATGGGACTACCAACTTCCGAATAACAAGTCGTAATGGGGCATGCGGCATTTGAAGAGGAAGATGAGAAAGTCTCGATTGAATCAACCATATAAAAATAAGTTATGACGAAAGCAACATTTAAAGAAGAAGAGGAAGACGTATCATTTGAAAGTACATGATCATTTCTAATGCCCTAAATTGAGTCGAATGATAAACATAAAGTTGGCGAAAAATGAGATTTTATCGAGTCAGCCCACACGCCAATTAGTTGAGTCTCGTCAAGTTAGAATTCGAGCTTGTGTAATTTATGAGATGTCATTTGATCACAAACTTGAACTCACGACTTGATAAACTAAAGCTGCAGAGCTGGTTAACTAGTAAATAGGCTCACTTGTATCACTATCCCTACAAAATTTATTCTGTGCAAACACCAAACAACGTCCAAAGAATAATAAAAATGCACCACCCTTTTACTGTACCACGGCTCAATACTGCTCTGTACTCGGTACCAATTACGATGCTTGGTACCGCTCGGTACCACGGCATCCGAACATAGAGTTGCATCCGACATCCACATAGAATAATTTCCTCTATCCCTTGAGGCTCACTTAGACCACTATCCCCAAATAGAGTTGTCACTAGTGTGCTTTTGAGGCTCTGAGACTCCAACCTGCTAACCACCGCCACAAACCTTGTCAAGCTAAGTGCGAGGAAGCCAGAAGCCAAAAACTCAGACCATACACGTGGAGCTATCCAAAGGTCAGTCGCAAAGTCTAGCCATATCCACGAGCCCTAAATTCCACTCAATTTCCATCAAGCTCCAGATCAACAAAAACCCAGAAATCAAAAAAAGATTCAGCGAAGAGAGAAGAAAACAGAAAATCAAAACCCTCAAGATGCTTCGGACAACGCCGTAGCAGAAGAGATCGAAGCCTAAACCCAAAATGATCCCGCTCACCCAAATCGTCTCTTCCCCTCCCCTCCTCCCCGTCCGATCCCGCCTCCATTCCCATACCCGCCGCCGGCCCAATACCTCCTCCGTCCCTCTCCTCTTCAAACCCCCAAGAACTCATCTTTCTCTCCCACCACGCTCCTCCTCCTCTTCCTCGTCTTCGCCATCCCCTATCGATGACACCATCGAGCTCCCACTATTTCCTCTCCCTCTCGTCCTCTTCCCCGGGGCCATCCTCCCCCTCCAGATCTTCGAGTTCCGCTACCGCATCCTAATGCACACCCTCCTCGCCACTGACCTCCGCTTCGGCGTCATATTCTCCGACGGCGGAGTCGTCGCACCGGTCGGTTGCGTCGGCGAGATCGTCAAACACGAGCGCCTAGTAGACGACCGCTTCTTTCTCATATGCAAAGGCCAGGAACGCTTCCGCGTCCTCGATCTCGTCCGCACCCGCCCTTACCTCGTGGCCCGCGTCGCCTGGCTCGAGGACCGTCCACCGCCGAACGGCTCCAGCTCCACAACCGACGAAGACAACCTCGACAACCTTGCAACCGAGGTAGAAAAGCACATGCGAGATGTTATTCGGATTTCGAATCGTCTTAACGGGAAGGAACCAAAGGAGGATGCCGAGACGATGGATTTGAGAAGGAATCTTTTTCCCACGCCGTTTTCGTTCTTTGTTGGAAGCACGTTCGAGGGGGCGCCAAGGGAGCAGCAGGCGCTGCTTGAGCTTGAGGATACTTCGGCGAGACTAAGGAGGGAGAAGGACACTTTAAGGAACACTCTCAATTACCTAACTGCAGCCTCTGCTGTGAAAGATGCTTTCCCTTCTTCGCCTTCCTCATCTTAGAACTCTTTCAGGCACAAGAACAAACAAGTTACATGCAGAAAAGAGATACGCTGCTATTTTTTCTTTCCCTTTTTGTTGTGTAAAATTCAAGAGTGCTGTATGATAATTAGATGAAGATTGGTCTTTTAATCATAAATATTTGCGCATTTAAATTCCTATAGTAAAGCATGAATGAAAAGTTGTTCTTCTGCAGGTTGAGCTACAATTATGAAGTGTTATGAAGCTTATCACTACAGAATTGATTTCAGGTAATTGATATGCTGCCATGCTTGTTAAATTGGTAGCTAGAAGGTTAGAATACTAAAAAGTTTGGGAGTACAGAGGATTTAGGAAAAGCATTTGTTCTATCCAGAATTCCAAATTTCAGATAAAAACCTGGGTAATTCATGGCAAATATTACCTGGAGATATAGAGCCTTGCATTGGGTACTCATACCCACATCCACCCACGTAGGGTATGGGTATGCCCATGACTTCGTGGGTGGGTATGGGTTGGTACTCAATATCAAGGGATAAACCGATTTACATTGTTAATCACCGTATGTCGTATATTACTGCAATCATCATTATAAAGTGTGCAACATTGAATCACATTGTGACCATAATAAATTCTGATTTGCGGCTTGAAAGCTTGCAGTTAAAACAAAGGGCAACAAGCCTTAAGGCCATCCGTCCATGGCGGACAACTTTCAAGAAGCGTGAAAAGTTGATGGGTATAGGTGGGTACGACATCGTAAAAGTCACTATAGGTGAGCGTGGGTGGGTGAAGCTCACCGGCGTAGAGCGTGGGTACCCAACTGGGACCTCATGTAGGACTTTGCTGGAGAAAATATCTTCTTATTCCAAAAAGATAATATACAAGAGCAGATCAGTTAATATCACATTGAAATACTAAAAGGAACAAAATTCTCATGCAGATCAATAAATATACTGTCGACTACTGCTTTACCGTTACTCTACTTCTATCCCTAATGCAAAGGAAACAACTAACTCATTATAGCATTTATTATTCAAAACATAAGGGTTTGTAGATATATAGAGTATCCATGATTAGCCGAGCACTCAATTATGGCCAGCTGAGAATCTGCTAATGTTATGTTAGTTCTGGAAAGATTAAGGAATTTGGTTTCATCAGGTGAAAGCTATGAATTTTGACGCAGTGCTAGTTTGGAGTCCTTGTAAAAGACCTATTGTAGTTTTTTGGAAGTGTATGATGACATGCCCATAAACATGATAAAACCAAATGTTGATCTTACAAACCTTGGTCGTTAAAGAGCGCCCAAAATGTTTTCAAATGAAGAAGATTTTTGTGCTCGCAAGCATTGATAAGTAAATCATCCATTTGGGAGTTTTGAGAAAAGATTTATCAAGAGATTTTGAGCTTTGGGAATTATAAGGCTTTCATGTTTTGTATATGGTTTCTTCTGAGATTTGATCCTATAGATAAACTCAAAGCATTCTAATAAAAGGAGCTAAAAATGTTTAGAAGCATTTCCCTATATCACATTTTCATTTTGGTTAATGAAACTGACTGTTGCGGATGAATCAAATATTATTAAGGATTATCGGGAGATGACATGTCACACCTTGTTATACTGTTACAAAAAAATCGACAACACAACAATAACAATCGTGATAAAGAAATTTACATTTGATATGTCCCCAAAAATTACTTTGATCAAGCATGAATCTCAAGGCATATTTAAGTTGGAAACTTCCAAATTTAAATTCGGAATCATATGAATTCCAATTTTGGCAATCTTATAGTCAAATTGAACGTCTTGAATAGATGAACCTAATGACACCAAAATCAGCCTAACCCGAGCCCAAATGGGTCCAAATTGGAGGCCTGAACCACATTTGGAATGATCAAAGTATTATTTGGATGACAAAATAATATTCAATTATAGCATACTTATAGTTAAATCGAGCGGCTCGGTGAGACGAATCCAACGAGCCCAAGATCGCTGAATCACCATTAAGTCACTTCAATAGTAGAAAAACTCTCTATGATCGAGGGAATCAATAGGAGCCATCCGATGAAACACATCAAACCTGCCCCAGATCTTCTCTATATTTACAGGGTGTGTCACTCATTAAAATTTATAAATAGACCCCAACTCTCTACATGAGGGAGGGGGGAGGGGGCTAGAGATGGGAGAGGGCTTTGAAGCTTCAAGAGCACTAGCACCATGCCCGGTCGCCAACCTCCGCCAGACTTCGGCCTGGCCGACAAACGCTGCCGGACCTCCGCGCGGCCGTCGATTGCCATTAGACCTCTGCCCAGTCGCCGACCGCCGCCGGACCTCCTCCTGGCCGCCGACTGCCGACCGCCGGACTTCGGCCTGGTCGCCAACCGCCCCGGACCTCCGCCCACTGTTGATTGTTCGTCGAACCTCCGCCCGGCCGCCTGGCCGCCAACAGTCGCGAGACCTCCGCCCGGCCATCAATATTTGTTGGACTTTCGCCTAGCCATCGACGGCGCCAGAATTTGGTCTGACTTCCGTCAAGACCACCGCTCAACCGCCAACCACCGTCGATCGCCGTGGACTTTCAGCCCGACAGCCAACCATTGTCATACCTCCGCCTGGCCGCCGATCGTCGTAGGACCTCCACCCGGTCGCCAACCCGGCCCAATCGCCACCGAACTTCTGTCAAGTGTTCGTCGGAACCACTGCCGGCAGCCAACTCACCTGCCGAATCTCTCAGCCCGACCATCGTCGGACCACCGCTCGGCCGCCGACCGCCACCGGACTTCGGTCCGAGTGTCGTCAATCCATTGCCGGCAGACTGAACCACGCTCAGCCGTCGACCACCGCCAGACCTCCACCTGGACTTTGTCGGGGCACCGCCGACCGCCGTCGAACTTTCACCTGGCCGCCGACCGTCGCCAGACTTCCACCCGTCCGCTTTCCGGCCTCCATCGCCAGACAACAATTTTTCTGGCCCTAATCTCCTACTGCCTATGTTCCTTCCGACCTCCATCGCCTATTACAGTCCTTCCGACCTCCATCGCCAGACAATGGTCTTTTTGACCCCGGTCTTCTACCGACTACGATCTTTCTGACCTCCCTCGTCGGACAATGGTCTTTATGACTCCTGTCTCATACCGACTACGATCCTTCTGACCTCTGTCGCCTACTACAATATTTTCGACCTCTATCATATCGACGATGGTCCTGCCGACCAAACAAATATATCTATGTTGATATTTGTAACTCCCACCATGTAATGTGCTCTATATGATGTACATTTGTGACATCAAGCCAAGGCCTTCTCCCAAGGAAGGGCCTCATGTGTAATCGACTGCAAATACTAATGGTTCATTCAAACTGGGCCAGGCCCCATGGATTTTTCCCTTTTCAGGGGTTTCCACGTAAAAACTCAGGTGTCTCTTATGAACGCTACACCCACTATCTTATCTGCTTATGTGTTGGATCTTCGTACAACACTAAGATGTTAAACTATATATTTCTCTACCACCGCGAATATCCCAGGACGCAACAACATTCATTCTCAAACATATATATGACAATTTATGCAATAATCTATAATAATATCCACCAAACTAAGTCAAACTTCAAAGTCGTGGGCTTTGAAAATTCGCGTCCCAGCTTCTCTTTTTTCAGGAGAGTTTTAGCAGTGTTTCGGGTCAAATTTTTATAAGGAAGATTGACTTTGGGTTAAAACACTGCAAAGAGATTTTGCCCTCATTTTGTGAGGACTTTATAATCTGGGTCTAGGTTTCTCATCGGCAGAAGCACCTATAGTTAATTACCCCTCTCGATAATGAGATAACACTTTCGATTAAGGCTAGTCATGAAATATGTATGAAATAACTAGCATATAGTAGCAACAAGTGAATTTTTTTAGAATTTTAATATTTTTTATTTTTATACTTAAAGCGGATGGTGGGGGGAATGATGATGAACCCGATCAAGATTTCATGGTTCTGTTGTCCCGGGTTGTCATGGTCCCTAGTCTACTTAGTTAAAGGAGGTAGTCAACCCAACCTGACCCAAGGATCCTTATCAGCAGCCATGAATTGCTTCGTCCAAGGGTACCTTCTAGACATTGGGTGAATGCTTGTTTAAGAAGACAAATTTTAATCAACTTTAGCTAACAGAAAGCTTTATACCTTATTGAGTGCACCCTATGATTCACACTCAAAGTGATTTTAACCATTGGCTCATCATATCTCATCTGCCGGCAAATTTCATATTTCAATTTACGTGTCATCACCTTATAAAGCATGCCAATTTTGCATTTTGATTTGTATAAATAGCTATACAATATTACAATCAATTTTAGATATTTTCGACGTTCCGGACACAATGGTAAAGTCCATTTTGTAAACAGACGATTTTTAGTCAACATTGAGTAACATTTCATCTATAGTCTGTCGATTCCGACTGCTTTCGCTAAATTTGATTGCGAGGGGTCCCTCTTTAGGTAAATTCGATGCTCTAAACTCATCGACGAAGCATGTTTAACAATTGGAGATCATTTTGGTAGTTTTTGCTAGCATCGCTAATAATTAGTTTTTAAATTGTTGCATGATCGAGTCATGTACAAACAACTCCTCTTTGTTAAATTCAATGCCCTAAATACATTGATGTGGTCCATTTTGTAATTGGATATAATTTGAAAACTTTCATTACGATCGAAACACTCCAATCTTTGCTCAGAATGATGTCTAGTTTACCAACAATAATTGATTAGCGTCTCATTTTCTTGCATTGATCATGCCACATATAGAGAGGTCAACAAAGCATACAACAACAATAACAAGATCAAGCCTTTGTCCCACTAGTCAAATTCTCGTTTAAATTTAATAAATAAAGATCATTTCTAATATTGTCTAACCAAATCTTTTTAGGTTTACCTCTACCTTTCTTGACATAAGTCAAATCTAATATCTCTACTTTCCTAATCGGGTCATCGGAAGGCCGCTGTTTTATGTGACCAAACCATCTAAGGCGACTCTCTCTAATCTTATCTTCCACTGGCACTACTCCAACCTTTTCACGTATATTCTCATTTTGTATCCTATCTCTAAGGGTAAAGCCACTCATCCACCCGAGCATCCTCATCTCTGCAACACTTAACTTAGTAGCTTCTCTTTTAATAGCCAACATTCGACACCATAAAACATTGCAGGTCTCACCACCATCTTATAAAAGCATTGCAGGT